TAGAAGAGTTTGTTGAATCTGACGTGACATGTTCGTACGAACCCTTTGTACGAACAAAAGTAAGAGAAATTTAGGATAAGAATACGAACGTGTTCTTGCATGAGGCCCAATGTTCAGTTCAGAAAATGACAAACTGAACAAAAGATGTCATGCTAAAGCACAGAAGTTTAATCCTCCTGCTGCCCTTGGGTCAAAATGATCGACAAATTGTTGTAGAGTTCCTTTACACTAGTATGTTGTTATATAAATCTGAGAAATGACACAACAGGCCCTTGTCTAGTCTGAGCCAACAGCTTTTCTATACTTCTACTTTCGGACGCATGTCAAGTCTGAAGATACCCTTTTTTTAAATATGTGCTACATAAGATGCATTTAGTAAAATTCATGTTTTTTGGGTACTTTTCTGATTTTATTTGACTTTACTCTTTAAAATAAATGATAATGATAATATAACAAAGCAAATAGTTGTTCTTTCTATCAAACACCTACGTTTCTTCTGAGTATTTATGTTACCTGTGAGCTACAGTCACTTCCTGGATTTATTTATTTTTTGTTTAGTTTTTGTCAAAAGGTTAAGGGTAGAAGATAAAACGAACAACAATCTACAAGTGTGGGTTATTTATAATGTGGCCGGCTCAGGAAGGGGCTAGATGACACTGTATTGTATTTCATGACCTTGCCAGCTCATTGGTTTGACCAGTAATCCACTTCCATAAAGAGAATGTGGAGGGGATCGAGGTCTATCTGTGATTGCAATATATACCTCCGTAACACTTCATCTGCCCGGGACTCAACCTGTGTCTTTGTCTGCCTGGGTAGAGTAAGAGCTCTTTCTTTTCCACTCTGCTTTAACTGTTTCAGAAGACAAAGCATGTTGTCTACTGGTTGATTGCATGTTTCTTTTTGTTGGTTCAGATCATTGTTTAAGGTTTGTTCAGATGGTTTGCACATGTGGTAATATTTTAGGTTTATTTATGTCGTTATCAAACTATACAGATATTTGTCCAATGATTTGATCGTTTTGTGAATAAGACTAAGTGTTACAAGAGTAAAATAGGAATCATATCAGTTTTGACTTAACAATAAAAATGATTTTTAAAGATATAAATAATTTTGAATGTTTTTCGTATGTTTTGACATAAAATTTGAGTAGATTTTGGAGGTATTTGGTCTTCTTCAGCTGTTAAGATGAACCACTTGGAGAATATAGTCTTGAAGGTTGAAGTTGTCTGTCTTGACAAGTTCTCAGTTTCCTGCTGGTCCAAAGCCGATGATGAACAGCCTGCTGAAGTGGTATGCTGAAAAACAACACCACTACAAGGCATTAAACAGAAAACCAGTCCATCAATGTTTATCTTCCTGTTAGCACCCAGGAGAGGTGTGTTCACAGGAAGACCTGGTCTCATCTGGAGCCTCTACCAGCTTAATCCCTGTGCACCAATTTTAGTCCATGTTCTCCTCAAGGATTTTGATATTTAAAGAAGCTTCCAACACTGGAGGAGTGATTCACACGTTCAGACATTTCCTTATTTGGATTTTGAATGTTTCAAGTGAGATTTGAGCTTTAAACCAAGTTGTGCTTGAATGCTGTTTGACATTTGAGTTGTCACTAGAGCCTGATTTTTTGTTTTTAAATCCAGAGTATCTTCTTGTACGGAATAAAAGGCTTTGTGTGGGAGCATCTTATTTTTATTTTTACTCCATAAAACAGGTGAGCAGTGCTGAGGTCAGCCTAGTGATGAGTTATTTTAGTGACACGCTTTGATATCTTGGCCGTGTAAGGACGTTCTTCAGCATTAGGTTGCTGTGAAATCCTAAATCTTTCCTCCTGAGAATATCCCATACTTAACCTACAATCACTCAAGACAAAAATCTGAGCACATATTTAACCCATTGGACGTCGTTCCAACTCCTAAAATACTCCACTGAGTTCTTCATGTTTCTATATTAACACGGCTGGAGATGTACCACCCCTCGTCTCCTCTGCCTGCTTCTTGTTTGGGTTAAAAATGACACGTATGTCTGCAAATATCTCTTCTTTTAGAACAAGGCAGCTTTTTTATTTGTTTTTTTTTTTTTTACTGTAGATGTTAGGAACAGCTGTGGGTTCCGGAATAGAATATTAATCTGCTGCTCTTTCACAGCTGCCAAACATTGCATGTAAAATACCTCTGCTGGCAGGCGCTGGTGTTATAAATGGCTACTTAATAAAAAGTGTCTAAAAGAGCTTGTGAATGTAAGACCACTCTTTATTTAAGGGAAATAAATACATTTTTTTAATTTCTTGAAAAGTTGTACGTTTACACATCACATGCGGTTGTTTCGTCAATAATAATATTATTTGGAGATCGTTTTAATTTGGTTTTCCAAGCTTTGAAGTTCTAGGAGTCGTCCTGTAACCGAAAGGTTGCTGGTTCGATCTCCCGTTCCAGTCGTCTCAGTTGTTGTGTCCTTGAGCAAGACACTTCACCCGCCAATGGGCAGCTGTGGCCACAGTGTAGCTCACCATCTTCAGTGTGTGAATGTGTGTGTGAATGGGTGAATGTTTGTAAGTGTAAACTGCTTTGGGGTCCGGAGGGACTTGATAAAGTTCAGTCCATTTACCATTTTATCGTTAATGATGGATGGATGGATGGATGGATGGATGGATGGATGGATGGATGGATGGATGGATGGATGGATGGATGGATGGATGGATGGATATGTAGTGAGTCGTTAGAAGAAAGACAGAACGAGTGATTATCTATTTCTGTCCTACACTTTTACCAAGTTGGGGCACCAGGTCAGTTACTGACCAACATTTATTCACCCTTTTTAATCTGCTCCTTGTAAAGTAATGTTTGGAGCCAGAAATGCTGATGTTAGCTAGTTAATTAGCCAGTGTTATTGTTTCTTTAACAAAGTTAAAAGGAAAACTGAGCAAAGCTGCTGGAAAAACAGATTTTAACCAGAAAGCACATCTGGTCACAAAACTGGGTCACAGTTTGATAGCTGGCTGTTTATTTCAGCTTGTTACATAATGTAGCACTCACACCTACGTGCAGTAGCATACTCACAACAACAACAAAAAAAATTCCAAATATTGCCAATAAAAATTGCACACCCCTGAGATAAACAGATATACAAACACAAACATGACTGAAATGGCTGAGTGCTGTTCTGTCCACAGTGACAGGAAGTGATGACAGAGAGTATGTTTGAAGTTTGTTTATTTCAATCATGAATTGAAATATGAGTATGAAACAGCAAGTCATCCAATACAAAAAGTCCAATAATATAAAAAAAATCTAATAAAACAATAGAAAAAAGGTAGAAAAAATCAACTCGTCCAGTAAAAAAAGTAATAATAAAATAAATAAATAAAAAAATAAAATAATCAATGATGCATACAAAATCAAAATGTCAAGGAAAGAAAAATTACTTTGAAAAGAAGTCATGAATGTAAAGAAGCAGAAAGAAGTATAAACTTATAATATCTGCCCCTACTCGCAAAATAAAACCAACCACCAACTCAAAAGTTCACCATTAGCATACGGCAAAAGTAATTCAACACACAAAATTATAACAAAAAAAATTACAACAAATTTCAACACACAAAATTACAACAAAACAATACTTAGACAATATTATAACGCTTCATCAAAATGATTTTCAAGTTATTTTAATACAAAAAAGATTTTGACTGTTTTATCTATCAAGACCATTCCACAAACTAACAACCTTAATTGAGATACATCTTGACTCTATTACAGTTCTGAATCTATTTTATTCAAAAGTCTCAACACCTTTTAAATTATATATACTTTCTCTTTTGATAAATCTGTGTTGGATACTGTTAGATAACATATTTTAGTGGACTTTTTACATGAATTTTAAGATATTTTACTCAATGAAATCATTAACCTTCAGTAGATTCATCATCTCTATAAATATTGGGTTTGTATGACCTCTGAATCCAGCTCCAATGATAAATCTAACAGCTGTTTTCTGTAAGAGAAAGATTGAATTTAAATATGTTTTACAGGCATTCCCCCATACCTCCACACAATACGTCATATATGGTACAACCAGTGAATTATACAAAATATACAAAGCCTTTTTTATTTAA